TTCCTCAGGAAAATATGACCTAATGTCTTTAAATATCTTCTCATACACACAGGAAGAAGCCCAGATTAGCATAATCACATTATACAGCAGCCATTTATAGATCTGAATACACGAGGAAAAAGGGGTCTTTGGCTCAGTTTCTCAGTGTATCATAGCTTGTTGTTATTAATAATGTAATCAAGCACAGATAATACTCATTTATAGGTCAAGTTATAAAAAGGTTGATTTAGTGAATTTTGTATAGCTTTAAAAATCTATTACAGCTTAATTTAAAAGGTAGTGTCATATGTCAGATATGAACAGTTTGATTTAACTAAATGAGTTGATATAAACCACATTTGGTCCCTTGAAGTAAAACTAAGTATCCGTTACAGTGCTTGTACACATCCTTCATTTCCGAAGTTCTTAGGTAAAAAAAGGAGTTATTTACAACTATGTGAGAAAATATGTTGTTATGAAGAAGAGCTCGACCCCAGGCCTACAAGGTCCTGACTTAAAACAACCCAAACATTGACTTCCTGTTTGAATACTTCCTCTCCATCTTCCCACTGTCTTTCATTTTGTTGATATATTTGATTTTGTGTTCAACAGAAAGGGTTCAGTCCGCTGCATGTGGCAGCAAAGTACGGCAAGATGGAGGTGGCCAGCCTCCTCCTGCAGAAGAGAGCTGCTCCTGATGCTGCTGGAAAGGTGAGGTGTCTTTTAAAAAGGAGAAAAGAAGCCTGGTGCACAAACACACTTTAGGGAGTCCATCTTGAACTTGACAATAATTCTTAAGAGTGTTTACAGATGTGTTGCTGTTGGAAAACATGAGCTGTCTGAGCAGGGAGGGGCCTGGCACAGAAATCGCTCCACATGTTAATCAGGAGACACTCCTACACAGAGCAGAGAAAACGAAGGCGTATAAAAAGAGTTTCGAAACAACCAACAACAATGTGTTCCTGGATAAGAGTAATTTCAAGTAATCCCTAAAATATCCTGTGAACATAAGAGAGAACAGCTAGGAATAGAGCTAATAGGATTATAAAATATGTTTGTAGAAATCTACTTTATATAAAAAACACAAGCAGTGGATCACACAGTTAGCGTTTCCAGTGGGATTTGGGCAACAAATGTCCAAAATGGCAGTGACAGTGGCCATTTGTGATCCTGCTAGTCTTGTTTACGCTTACCCTTATTCAACATGTTTTTAGGAGAGTAAACTGTTGTATTATCCAAGCTGCAACAGGACACAGGGGTGGAGGTGGTAAGGGGGGTGGGGGGGTGTTGTGAGGTGGAGCGGCAGGTTTAAGACTGATCCCAGGACAACAGAGCCAACAGATGCTTGTGCTGAGTGAACCTTCTGGGTAGATTTGCTTTTATTCCCCTGGTGATGCACTTATTCCACCTCCACATGCAGCCGTGTCCAAACGCATTTGTTCACACATGCACACACACATATTGACGCACTTAGTTAGCTAGTTGTGTGTGTGTGTGTGTGTGTGTGTGTGTGTGTGTGTGTGTGTGTGTGTGTGTGTGTGTGTGTGTGTGTGTGTGTGTGTGTGTGTGTGTGTGTAAAAGTGATTAGCGCAGGTTGGCAAATTCCTTCCATCAGATCAGTCAGTGTGTCTGTCAGAGTAAAGTCATGTGACGTCCATGTTTCTGCCTCTGCATCACGGTGTGTGTGAATGTGTGTGTTTGCAGCCGGGGTGTGAGCCGTGTGTCTACAGAGATCACATGAACTGTTGATGTTAATGTTACCATAACAACCATCGTTTACAAGGTTTAACATGATGGCGAATAGTTCCAAGCAAACATGAGTGACATTTCTTATATCTCGTTTTGATGTAGCTATGTGTGTATGTCTACAATGTTTGCTTGTACTGCATATTAACAGTGGTGTCAGATCAAAACAGTACATTAGCTAGATCTTTTTTGAACAATTTACAATATATTTATATTACAAGAAGGCTATTATAACACATATTCTTGTTTTATAAACTTATCACAATATGATAATACACTTGTTGTTGTTATAACACTAGACAATTTATCTTGAAACTACAAAAAGTACAAAAAACAAGAAAACGAGAATAATGTGAAACGATTGTAATCAAATATACATCTATTAAAGGAAAACAGATTTAGTAAAAAATGTCCAATAAAGAAAAGATAAAATGAAATACAAATATTTCTATAAATTCCTTTTTATTTCGAATTACATTTTAAAAGTCGTTTTTTAAAGTGATTTTCTTTCTTTTTTACAACTAAAATCCTCGTACTTTGTTCATTTTGTCACTGTTGTTCATCAAAGCATATTCCTTAAACCTACATGGCAAAACCCTTTATTCTAATACTAAAAAGGACTTTTTAAAAGAACTTTTGACCGTCAGTGTTTTGCATTTTATGTGAACCTTTTCCTTCATAGAGCAGATCACTGATGTCGGTTCAGGACTCTCTATCTGTGGACCCGTCCGCCCTGCAGGGACGGGCCGGATGCCAGAACAATCACACCGTGGCGTCAGCAGCGCGGCGGAGTCCCCGTTACAACAGGATGTGACATCAGGATGTGACGTCGCTGCAGTTTACAGCTCTGCAGGGTTCACACACACACACACACACACACACACACACACACACACACACACACACACACACACACACACAAACACACACAATCACAGCTGGAAGAACTCAGTGTTCCCTGTGTACAGAAATATTTCAAAGTAAAGCACCACAGGAGCAGAAAATAACCTTCAAAGGTCAGAGGGAGCAGGCCAATAACATGTTATTCTGCTGTTTGGAGTAGTACCTGAAATAAAGGCTATGTTAATGATAATTGTTCTCAAGCTACTTTTAGGATCCTTTAAGTAAATATTTAGATATATTCTTGTACTAAATCTTTATTTTTTTCAGGCTTAATTTGCATATTTAATGTACTGAAAACTACTCTTTATTATACATTTGTACTGCTCATAAGTTACTGTGGTGGAAGAGAAGCTGCAGTGAGGTGAAGAAAGGTTTCTGCAGGTCACATCAGGTTCGTGTTGCTAGCCTGTTAATAAACAATGAAAGTAGCAATTAAGAAGGACATGCACGAAACTCACCTGAAGAAGGTAAGGGTGTGTGTGTTGGGAGGGTGTGTGTGTGTGTGTGTGGAGGGTGTGGGGAAGGAGCAGAGAATAATAAAAGAACAAATTCAGGACATCCACTCTGCAGGATTTCTCCCAAACATCATCCCAATATATGAATTAATCCTTAAATGTACTCAAGTACTGTACTTTTGAGGTACTTTACGTGACAGAGCCACTTTATAATTCTACTGTTCAGTTCATCTGTTTCATAATTGTAAGTGTCAGTATATTTTTAAACGACTTTAGTTAGCTACGTTAGCTAGTTTGCTTACAACAGATCTGCAGTAATAATTGTACTGTCCCCTGGTTTCCGTTGTGTTTTGAGCTTCTTGCAGCGTTTGGTTTATGCAGCTTTTGTAAACGCTCTGCATGTTTCCTCAAATTGATAGGATGTTTCTTCATTGCATGTGTTTTGGCACTAAATGTTGCGTTGCATTGAAAATGACAACATAAACACTCTTATATGTATTTTGTCAGTGATTAAAACCTGCATATTATATTGTCCGATGATAATACAACAACGCTTTCTTTTATTTCAGTTATTTTATAGTACACTTTCATGATAACACTTCTGTACTTTTGACTTAAGTGACATTTTGAACTTTTACTTGTAAGGGAGTACTTTAGAATGAGGTATTACCACTGTAACTTAAGTGAAGGTTCTGAGTACTTTTTGCCAGACTAATGTTCGATATTTTGTGTGTGTGTGTGTCATTTGACTTTTAAATACACACACTGCGGACAACACCATGGAAACTGAAGTGGTGTGAAGATCTCCGCAAACACACTCATCATGTAACATCGATTTCCCTTCTACAGGCAGATTTTCTGCTTTTAAAAAAACGTATTTAATACACAAACAAAAAGAAAAATGTGGACTCCAGAACATCTTGAATTGTTCTCTAGATGTTTAATTCAGTGTTCAGATGCAGATTGCTCTTGGTTAATCTCCGCAGCATTTAAACAGATGAGTTTTGGGAAGTTGTATTGACTCATGAGCAGGAGCTGCAGTGATTGAATCAGGATGTAGTAAAACATGGCGTGTCTTCAGTGATGTTTAAAGTACATTTACATAAGAACTGTACATAAACACAATTGTTTAAATATTTTTACTTTACTCTAGCATTTCCTTTAAATGCTACTTTTAACATCCACTTCACTAAAGGAGGAAGCAAATATTGTTGTTTTGAAACTGAAAGCTAAATTACTTTGCTGTAAATGGACTGTACTTATATAGCGCTTTATCCAGTCTTTAAGACCCCTCAAAGCGCTTTACATACTACATGTCATTCACCCATTCACACCCATTCATACAGAGCAGTGTACCTTACTCTAGGACCTAACATTCACACACATTCACACACCGTTGGCCATGCCATCGGGAGCAACTCAGGGTTAAGTATCTTGCCCAAGGATACATCGACATGTTGACTGCAGGGGCTGGGATCGAACCCACAACCTTCTGGTTGAAAGACGACCGCACTCCCTCACAGCCACAGTCGCCCCTGCTGTTGATCTATCTACCTATTTAAGGTCCTACATGACCTGCCCTTACAAAGAGTTTCCTTTGCATCTACAGATACTGTATATCCTTATCAAAAGAGCACCTCAACTAAAGCTGTTTTTGACCCCAGGAAGTAATGCTATTTAGACATTTGACTTAAATGACGATAACTATTAGATTATTTACATTTAAATGAAATGCAAAAGCATTGCAATAAGAACCAGGGAGAATCTCCTCTTGCATTTCAAGTTTCGTCTTATTTCTTGTGAAATATTCATATGTATTGTCTATGACTCAACTGTAGTCATCACTCCAATTGTGGCACACACAAGCAGCTCCACACACACACCTCCACACACACTGGATGAACCACTCAAAATCAGTAAGTTCTCGTTCAATTATTTATTCATCAGGTTCAATAAACATCATATTAATGCATCTGATTTTTTTTTTAAATAATCAACTGTACACGTTCAGTGTGTAACTCCACTCCTAACAGAGAGTAATACAATGACGTCACATGTCCTTTTGACGTCCCCTTCAGTTCATGTGTGAGGACAGGTGAGCAGCACGTGCACCTTCAACTCAGGTAGCTTCACGTGCTCAGTTCATTCATCGTCGGTTCAGTCACGTGACATTCTCAGTCACATTCTTTAACACAGTTCCCCCCTCTGTCTGCAGCTTCAGGACTAAGCCCCGCCCCCTCCACAGGCCGGTCCGGCTTTCAGAACCCGTACGGTACCGGAACCATCAATCACCCGGTCGGGCTGCAGTAAAGGCCCGGTTCGGTTCGGCTCGGTTCGGCCCAACTATTTGTATTCAAACGCCGTTAATCGTCTTCAGCAGAAGGCCGGCTGTTTGGACTCTTTCTCCCCGCTCAGCAGCGGTCTAACTCGGCTCGGTTCGGATCAGCGGTCGTGCATCTCCAGGCAGGGAACCCACTGGTTGCTGCAGCGGCTCTCCTCGCAGAAGCTGCTGATGTTATCCAGGGCCAGAGACTGGAGGGGCTGCACCTGGGGGTTCTGTGGATCAGAGGGGGGGAACACGGTTAGACTTCCGGTAATACGTTACAACCTAATCATCTTTATTTTGATTCTAATCAGATTTCATTTCGGTGCAATAACCGAACATTCCGATGATTAATTTGCATATCTGGTTTCATTTCCGGTGCATGTACTTACAGTGACCAGGATGCAGTGCAGGTCCCGGGGCTCGTTGCCGTTTTTGTCCCCGGTGCTGTCCTCCTCCAGCAGCTCCGCGAGGCACCCCATGCCTGCCACCCGCAGGATGTTGATGCCGTTGTCACAGCAGAAAGCCTGCAGCAGGGTGAAGTGGATCTGTAGCGCAATGTCACCTTCATCCTCCTCATCAGTGGCGAGGACGCATAGGACGACACTGTCCGGGTCTCTGCAGGAGGAAGAGGAGGAGAAAGGGTTAATGTCAGCATCATCATTGTCAAACACAGGTTTATTGCCAAGTACAAGTAGATATACCAACAAACTACGTGCAGTATTGGTATGGAAAGTATTCTTGTAAAGATTGGAAAAGATGCTGTGGAAAATCTGACTTACACATTCATGAGTTTTGCGGACTCGTAGACTCCCACCGTGAGGCAGTCCTGCCGCTGAGCCGCGACCAGAAGCACCTCCAGAGCCTGGCTAACCGTCTCCATCCTGCAGAGCAAAGAGTTGGTTAGAAACGAGCACACAGTGATACTAATCTCTAAGAAATGTCTTTATGATCTCCTATAATACACGCTAAATAAAAAAGATGATTACAATCTAGAACGTTATTTGCTGCTGCGTGCCAGTGCGTAATTACGCATGTGGGCAACAACTACGCAGGAGTAACTTACTTTTTCTCGGTGCTGTTGGATCCGAAAAGCTTTTCCAGAGTCATGTTGAAGTCAGTAAAGTAATCCATAAAATCCAGGGTAATGACAAGTATCCACGGCGCGGAGAGGCTGTTGTAAATTCGTGAATTAAAGTCCAAACAAGCAGTAATCCAGCTCGGTGCAAAGATCCGTCCAGAGTCCGTTAACAAGGAGTTCAAATGCAGAGTAAAATCCGTGCCGTGTGAGTGAGTGTGGAGTTCTCTGCCTCTGAAGCAGAATCTCCCCGCTCTTTATACTCGCTCTCCGCAGTGCTCGTCACCCCGCCCGGCTGCTCGGCTCCTGATTGGTCCGCGGCTGTCAATAGATCCCCCGTACTATGCGCCCATTGGCTGAGCGCTTAGCAGACGCCGCTTATCCCACGTGGGTGGTTTCGGAGAATCCCCCGCTCTCTCCCTCCTCTTCCTCCCCTATCCTACTCCTCTTTCTCTTCACACTCTTCTTGGAGTTTGTTGACTGGGATCTGTTTCTCTCACTGCAGGCATTTCCAGATCTCAGTGCCCTTTTCTCCCAAACCCCAGAATCTGCTCCCTGTTGTACCGGGAGAAGCTGCAGAATTCTCATGAAATAAAGCCGAATATTATAAAACATCCGCCTGATACTGCATCCACCTCACATGCATCTCCTTGGTCACTTTGACTTTGCACATTGGTCTTGCAACATTTCTTTGCACTACTTTATTTCCACTCTGTGTATTTACGTTGTATTGTTTTGGAGGAGCATGGGGCTTTCTTTTGGAGCTACTGTGCATTTGACAATAAAACCTTTGAATCTTGAACACGTACAGTATACTCACACACACACACACACACACACACACACACACACACACACACACACACACACACACACACACACACACACACACACACACACACACACACACACACACACACACACACACTCGGCACACTGCAGAGGACAAACATAAATGAATAATTTGTAAAGTGAAGTCTGGTTTCTGTAGAAGCACTTAAAGGAACAGGTGACCGACCCCGTGCCAGATTCCAGTGCGCACAGGGGCTTCTGAGTTATGAAACTGAGGGTGACGTTGTGCAAGAAACAAATGTGGAAAACTGCGTGCATGGTTACACACGAGGTTATATACTCACATGACCGTTTGGTTTTTCTTTTATATCACTTGCTGTTTGTTTCTTGCTGACACTTTTCTGCTTGTTACACAATATAAAAATACTGAATAAGAACACATCTACGACAAAGACAGAAACATACGATGCCATATACAAAAGTGTGCAAAGTAGCTGCAGTTTGGGATTAAAGTTGACATTTAAATTCAATCAGGTATGTGCATGTGGTCTGAAGGTACTTTCAGTCATTACAAGAGGCAGACATCTGAGACAAATCGTGCAACCTGCAGGTTTTTTGTGTGCATTATTTTCGTTTTAATATCTGGAAACCCCTTAAGGATCCTCTAAAGTTTCCCAAGAGTCTCAAACTCCCTGCAGGAGCTCCAACTCTCCCATGAAACTGTCCTGAAGAACCTGCAGAACTGCCCAAAACTCCTGCATCTCTTAATGAAACCCCTAAAATCCCTTCAATTCATTTTCTGCAGCTTAGTGTCTGTTACTGGAAGCTTCACTGTGCAGCATGGAGGCTACATCCGGGTTATTCGTATACATAACAGCTGATACAGCGTGCATAACAGAGGCAGAATACAAACATATAAGCTTGGTTTTCTTGGAAGCATCGTTTTATATAAGCACTCAGTCAGTTTGCTGCAGGTTCTTGCATGTGCTCACACCACATGTTCCTGTCACACACCCCCCCTCCCCCACCACCTCCTGCAGTCTGAACACTCTGCAGGGACTCAGACGCCCCCCACAGGCCACACGTTGACACTGCACAGTGAAACCAACAGGACATGTTAGAACAAGACTGCAGAGGAACCGGTTAAGGAGTCCCGGATGAAGGAGGGGAAACACATGATGAGGGTCTTTAAGAGGGTATCAGGGTCCATTAAGGGGGATTTAAGGGGGATTTGAGGGGTTTTTATTTAGAGATGCAAAACGTTTCGGGGAGAGGTTTTTCAGGGCAGTTTCATGGGAGAGTTTTGGAGCTTCTGCAGGGGGTTTTGTAGAAAACTTTAGAAGATCCTTAAGCGGTTTCCAGATGTTAAAACGAAAATAATGCACACTTTCTGCCTCTTAAATGCACATATATCCTACGTGTACCATCTCTGCACACTTAAATCTCATATCTTACTTGGGATCCGACCACTTAATGTAAGACTAATACATGAAAGCCCTTCATCATTTGAGGTCTCAGAAGTTCACTTTAAAGTAAATGATTTCATCTTTTACCCTTACATTTTTGTGAAATGTGTTAAAGCAATTAACATTTAGGAGGTTTAGGATCAAATACACGTATACAACTTAAAGTCACTTATTCCATTGGTTTGACCGTGCAATCATTTCACAATGAAGCTCATTTATGTCTTAAGATCAAATGTAGGATTCAGGTTTCAAGTTTGAGAAGCCGTTGACTGAAAGTTTTTAATATGATGAGCAAATGTTATGTTTGAGGTTCATATTAGTAGACTTTAAGGGTCTCTGGTGACCCTCTACGGGGTTTTAAGTCTTTAAGGGATTTACAGGTTTATTATCTGATGGTGACCAATCTATTTTCACCTAATTTAAACATGGTTTAATCAGTTTCTTTCAGATGTAATCAGATATATGAATGTGTCTGCCGTGCAACAAGAGATAGAGTTTGATTTGCAGAAGAAACTGAGAGACATGTTGAAGTTACAAATATAAACTCTTCTTCTGATGAGGTTTATCCTCTGCTGCCACCTGCTGGTCTGATCTGGGTACTACAGGAGGATGAAACAGCAATAATATTATTAATTTACTTGATTATTTTGTTTACAGTATAAACAATTTTAACACATGGTTTAGGTTTATTATATATTTTCCTGTTGCCACTTTTCTTCCTTTACAATACACAAATATAAAAAAAGTATTTTGTTATATTTTAGAGGATTTTAATTGTGGTTATTTGAACTAAATGAATAGTTGTTATTTGGATGTACTTGTTTTAACAACAGGTTTTAGATTTGTTTAAGTTTGTTTTCATTTTTAAGAAAAATTGTTCCCAGTTTTCCACCTTCACATTAAACATTGTATCATTTATTTGGTTTATTTAAAAGTTTTTCTGTAGTTATTGAGACTAAATTAAGAGTTTCTATCCGATTATTTTGCGTCAATAATTTCATTAAACTATCTTTTTTAATAAAATCAGTGACATGTGATCAGCTGATCACTCATTAACGCTTCATAATAGACACTAACGATGATGAGAAGCAGCCTTTTATGCTTCCAATGACTCTTCTGCTCCTCATGTTCCACTTTATTAAATGTATTGTGTGTCTTTAAATCTTCTTAAACATGACTTTATTGTCCGTTACCCCTACAAGATATATATATATATATATATTTATGAATAAATAATTGTCGTTCTAATGTTTTTTTGTAATGAATTTGACCCTGTAAAGTGTCTTTGAGTACCATAATTAGCAACCTAAAAATAACATGTATTATTAATATCATTTTCTAGAATTATAATTATTTGTATTTTCTTATTATTATAATTATTTGCATATTATTATTGATTTTATATTATTATTTGTTTGTATTTCAATTGTTTTATTTTTCATTTTAACATCATTGTCATTTATTTTAATCCGGATAATTTTTTATTATAGGACCCTCGAACTTTAAAGGTCACCTATCATGCTATTTGTAGGCAATAGCATAGGTCTCAGATATATAAAAATATATTAAAAACATGTCTATGAAGTGTTTTGCTCAAAATACCAAACAGATCACCCATTCTAGCCATGCCTCATATCCCTCTATTTCACTTCCTGTTTCAAAAGTGCTGATTTGGGGCATAAAGCTTTACAAAATAAGAAATTGATAAAAAAAAAAGGAAAGAAAGGAGGGGTCTGAGCTCATGCGGGACCCGGCAGCTACTGTCTAAACTAAATACTGCGGTGATGAAACGCCATATCATGGATTATCAAGGATTATCTCTGAAACAGTATGGAGCTCAAAGGCTTTCTCTCTTGCCGGTTATACCACAAGGTGAGTTCCTTTTTATTTCCTGCTTCTTCACACACATGCTCTCCAGTACAGCTTAGCTCTGAGTGTTAGCGATGCTAATGTAAACACCGACCATATTACGTCCAAAACAGTCGGGCATTGTTTCTGATAGCAACCTTTCTGATAGGGCCGTGGGTGTAAAGCCAGCATTTCCGATATTACGTCATATCGGACTCAAATCTGGATCAGCTCCGTTGTAGCCCCGTTTTTAGAGATTTGGGTACGGAGGAAAAGAGAGAGGGTTTTATTTTCTGACGCTGCGTGAGTTCCCCGACACACCGGGGACACATCTTTATGTATAAAAGACATCAAAAAGTGCATTTTGCATGATAGGTCCCCTTTAACCTTTATTTAAAGCCTCAAACATGTATTTTTAAGACATATTTAAGGGTTGTAACACTTGATTAAAAGTATTTTAACAAAGGTTTTAATAAAAACTGATTTTTAAAACACAGGTATTTCTGAATCGTTGTTNCTACCTATGTTGCAAATGTATTATCTTTTCAATTTACACACGGCATCTATTGCACGTCTGTCCGTCCTGGGAGAGGGATCCCTCCTCTGTTGCTCTCCCTGAGGTTTCTCCCATTTTTCCCTTTAAACTGTGGGGTTTCTCTGGAAGTGTTTCCTTGTACGATGTGAGGGTCTAAGGACAGAGGGTGTCGTATTATCATACTGATATTCTGTACAAACTGTGAAGTCCACTGAGACAAATGTAACATTTGTGATATTGGGCTATATAAATAAACATTGATTGATTGATTTTAACAAAGGTTTTAATAAAAACTGATTTTTTAAACACAGATATTTCTGAATCGTTGTTTTGGGCTCTGAATTGACCTCACCTCAGTTTCTATCAGCTGATTTTGCTCTGCTGATGATCCTCATTATAATGAATAAATCAGCGAAGCCTTTACACTTGATCATGTGACGAGTCGTTTCCAGGATCCATTTGATTGAGTGATGTCCTCATGGGACCGTTTTACTTCCACTTCACACGTGTCCTTAATGAACGCTGTGATTGGCTGCTAACAAGCTCATCAGTCTGCAGATAAAACCTCCTCATAATCAATCACTGTA